GCTCCTTCTTCAGACAAACAAAGTTAACACCAGCAATGTAAGTACACATATTTACACAACAGTGATAGCCATTAAACCAATCATGAAAGATCATACCACCCCCTCTGATGCCCTGCTGACATCACATACCCACCATTCAGATGTAAATATAATACCACAAACGAGACCAGAATGTATCCAAAGGGCCGCATGTAATATTTATTTTACGTAATGCTACAGAAGACTAGCTCTATGATTAAGTCCTTGTGGGTGAAACACATTAGCGGGTGGTGCTTAAACCTGGATTTGTGTGGATTTTACAATATATCTTTGCTGAGTTTTCATACTGGAGATATGACTGTTTGTTCTTTTGAAGATAGAGCATTGGCTATAGTAAAACAGTGTAATACATTTAACCATTTATAACTAATATGTTAATGAACAATTTGGAGGTTTTTTTCGTGGCCAGTCCGCTGAAAATTATTTGTTGATTGTTCTTTGAGACTCTGTAAAGAAACCATTGTTTTAACCATTATTACCTTTACTTTACACCAGTGGTTCTCAACCTGTGGGTCGCAAGCCACAGTTTAGGGGGTCGCCATGTGCCTTTTGTTTTGCTAGGTAAAAGACTGCTTAGCCTCCTCCTAGCGCCGCAGTGGCAGTTCTCCCAGATGGCGCTGCAGCAGCGGCACCCAGAGGGGATCTGAGAGAGGGGAGCCAGCAGGAGTGCTTGATCACCAAAGAGCCACACTGGGCACCAGAGAGCCTCCACTGGACGCCACCAGAGAGTCCCACTAGCTACCTGAGAGCCCGCATAGCCTCCTGTGACCCCACTCAAATACTAGTATTGGTGCATCCCTACATTTTACCGTTGGGGGTCACCACAAATTGGCAAATGTTACCAAGTGGTCCCGGAACCACTGCCTTACACAAAGATTAGATTTCACTGGCATTTTTTTTTCCAGGTGCCAATAAACCACAATTTATTAAAAGAAAATAATTTATAGAAAAAAAAAAACCCATGTAATAACATTAAAAGCTAGTTCAACATGACATCAATCATATGCTAAACCAATTGTTAACGTTCTTACATATTTTTATAAAATACAGTTGTGGTTTATGAGCACTTAAAACCCCCAATTAAATGTGATTTCATAGTGTTAGAAAACAAATAGCATTTGATAAACTCACATTTAAGTGTTCCATGTTTTTTTTTAAATGTTTATAGATAAAAAGTTCTGCCTCTGAGCAGACCCAAGAACTGCAATTTTGCAGTTTATGCATTTTAAAATCTTAGCGCCACGTCTATTTTAAATACTCTGGCGCCATCTTGTGCTGAATATAGTTACTGCAGTTCTATGGCAACGAAAGGCCGTATTTACACTTTAGCGCTATAAAAAAAAAAGCTACATTTAATATTGCGCTTTGCTTCTTATTAAACATAGCACATTTATAAAAAATACAATAGTTTGCACAAGTGCAACACTTCTATAATGCTTTGCACAAGTGCAACACTTTTATAATGCTATGGTCTAAATGCAGCTATTCCCTTCTAGATTAATATACATTTTAAGAACTTTAATAAACTATTTGTGAATATTTACATCCTTCTCTGTTCATCTGATAAATCGGAGTGTTGTAAGGAAGAAAGCTGCAGTCTGCATCCCTTCAGAAGTTGATGAGCTGTACAGAGCATCTTGGCAAAAATAAAAATTATGTTACAAGGGATGTGATTTCTGCATGCTTTTTGCACACAGTTGTGCACAATGCCCCCATGTTGCAATATTGCAAAGATAGATGGCATATGAAAGTTTGAGCTGTACAAAATTACAGCGGCAGCAGGCTGAAATGGAAAGTACATTTTTCATAACATTAACTTATACATTGACTTTTGTGGTAATAATGTTGTATTAAAGCTAAAGTCTGTGTAAAAATAACCATTTAAGAAAAATACAGATATACATGTTTTCCATATATACTGGAATATATGCTGGTCTGATGGCATCGTGTGTCCTTCCTCTTCTCTAAGGGGGCGGTCCTTACTGCTGCTGAACACTACAAATGTAATGAGGTGTGATACTCAGACCCACAACTGTGTGATGGCGCCACCCCAGTGGATGTTGATTGAATGAAGCTGAACACTGTTCAATTCAGAAGACTAGTGGTGGAAGATAGGTACTACAGGAGGGACAGCTAATTGAAGATGAGTATTGCTGCAAAAGACAGTTTAATTCTTATTATTACTGGGGTATTTATTAGGGCTGCAACAACTAATCGACATAATCGATTATAATCGATTATTGAAAAAGTTGTCAAATATATTTTTTATAGCTGGAGTTCAGCTTTCATTTTGTATCAAATTGGGAGTTTTGCTTTAAGATAAAATTAATTTGATAGATTGATAAAGGTTTCTGCAGTGTACTTAGTGCCAAGGGTAATCTTCCCTTTTTCTCTTTCATGAATTCCACTAGAGTTTCTAACTAAATGCCTTTGAGATCAATAGATCCTTCACCCGTTTAGAAGTTACCAATGACTATAAAACCAAATGACAACAAAATGTTATTGTTAGAATGTAAATAGTATTTATTTTTACTAAAACCATATGAATAAAATGTTTGAAAGGTCTAACAAGTAATGAGTTATATGTTCTCTGGCAGCACAAATAACAGTACCATTTCCATATGATATACTATAGTTATTTTAAAAGGACAACTTTCCCCAAAACCGATACAATTCAAGTATTTGCTGGCAGGTTGAACCACGTAATGACTTCTTATATCTCTTGGAGACTCCAGTGCTGATATATCCCATCTACAGACAGCTGCTGTGGTCAGTACAGAGCCAGATAATAGTGTCACATCCCTGGAGGAATCTCCTAAAGTGAATAAGCAAATAATTGGGAAATGCAGCTGTGAGAGTGATATCTTCGTTTTGGCATTGTGGGTAAATCTGATTTGGTTTTGGTATATAGAGGGGAAGGCTTAGAAGGCTGCCTAGCAAGGCCGAGCATTGCACTAAAGTGTTTTTTATGCAAGTTTGGATATCTCCATACAACAGTTATTTTGACTTTGTATGATGCGTGTTATTTTCCATCATTTGAAGTGAATGCCTGCATGGGCAACAAACACTTTTTGCTATTCTCAATAATTAGCCACAAGTACATGTTTCAGAAGTCAAATAATTTGAGATAATTACTATCCAGGAGTTCACAATTTACAGTTCCTGAACATATAGTATTCAGTCTCTGGAGAGATGCTTTTCAAATAGCATACCAATAGTAGTATCGGTGCAGATACCAAGTATTTGGGCAAGTACTAATACTTGGCCAAATGCTGGGATGCCTATCCCGATTCCCAGAACTTTTGGTCAGAGGGAGATTTCCTCTGACCGGCAGTGCCACGAGGGAACATGGAGCTGGCTCCCTGCCCAATCAAGAAGCCAGGCGGCGGGTAATGACTCGCAGCTCGGCTTGCTGATTGGCCGGCGTGCCGGCTACATGCTGATTGGCCAGGAAGCCGGCATTTAACCATAGATTCAAGCAGAGGATTCAGGAGAAGATACTCCAGCACAGTGTAGAAGAATCTTCACAGAACCTGCGATACTCCAGCATTCCCCGGGATCTTTTTGGAAAGATCATGACGCCAAGTGGAGTAAGGGAAGTATATTTACTAACGTTTCACCCGCAGGTTTATTCACTTTATTATGGCAAGGTATTGTGGGGGCCCTGATGTAGTACGTGGACCTTGCTTTCAATTTTAAGAAGCCAAATTGTTAACCCCAGAAAAAAATCAGTTTTGGGTAGAAATTACATTTAATGTAATTCTTCCTTTCAGTAGTTCTCAGTAAAAAGTTAATATAAATACAAAGTAGTGTTCACCAATATACCTGTTTTTTTCTGTCCCATAGACTGTATAGCAACCTCAATCTCCCCATGTTTTTACTTATCCCTGAGAAAAATGTTAGGGGGAGTATTTATAAAAGATGCGCAGAGCCGAACACTGTGCAAACATCTGACTTTTACATTCACTCCATATTATGGCCACTAGATGGAGCTGAGGAGCATCCTATGGTCCTTGGCTCCATCTAGTGGTCAAAATGTGGTGCAAAGTAAAGGTCAGATGTCCGCGGAGCGAATAGCTCTGCAAACTTTTTAAACCTTATGTGTTAGTTGGAATTCTTTTTAATTTTTTTTAATTATAGCCCACCCTCAAAGCAGGTTGTCCTAGTGTTTTGAGAGAAACAAGAAGTGACCACATGCATTGCTTTCCGGTCACTGAATGCAAAGCATAATCATCATGGCCTGCAAAGCATTACATTTAAAAGGGTAGAAGCCTTTACAACTGACCATATACTTACACTTAGGTGATTGTGGTAGTTACATATGAGGGATTAAGGCACATTAAAAAGGTAAAGAACAGGCACACCTAAAATACACAGGAAAATCAAGCAGGTTTACAATCTTCCTCTTTCACCTCTTTGCAATGGGAACGGGATCATCAAGGGGCCTCTCAGTGAAAATGTTCTATTTCCTGGTGACATTGTATGCAGGAAGTATTGACCCTGCAGACAGAGTTGTAGGTAAGAAAACATCTCCAGCATTCCCTTAGAGAAATGGTAGCTAAACGTCAGCCCTCCAAGCTGTGATGAAACTGCAATTCCCCATGCTTCTGGCTCTGGAAGTCATGCCTGTCAGGATCTTGCACTGCCTCATGGGACTTGTAGTTCCAAAAACAGCTAGAGGGTGGAAATAGATAGCCCTGCTTTAGAGTTTCTTGCTCCCAAGATGAGCTCTCATTTGGCTAGCAACATGCACTCGCAGCTAAAGGGATGCCGGGATGATACTAAAACACTGCACCCTGTCTCCCCTCTTCCTTCTAGAATGTGCATCATGAAACCTGAGAGTTTGTGTTCTGTAGAAAAGATTGTTCATGTAAAAACCTTCACAGAAAGAGAGACAAACTAATCCTATACTAAAAAAATGTTCCTTTGAGAGTTTTCAGATCGTCTGTAAAAATGTTCCTTCAAAATTCATCTTTGATAGTAAAATGGGGCTGATCATCGGGCTTGAAGTTTTGATTGTGGCTCCCGTCCTTGTTCAGGATTCGTCTGGAGGTGTAACCAACAATGGGGTACTTTTTCTTGTAGACGTTCTCAAAAATATCATCCAAAGACTTCAGCTGCTCCTCAGTCAGACCGGTCTGGAGAGAAAGCGGATGGTTATTAAAAGGAGTGTGTATCTATCTATACCCAACATGGGCATGGGACTCTGCAACTGTCACATGCCAGCTCTAACACTGAGAGCTGAATGATCATGTGACCGCTGATCATCCAGCTCTGGGTCTCCTCCACTGTCAGTTGTGTGTTCCCTGCTTCAAAGAAATATGTGAGACAGAGATAGAGGCCATCTCATTTCTTGTCTGGAGGACGCCCAGCATCATCTAGTTGTTTACTCCCCAGCTAGGCTGTCGCTGGCCCGCCCCTTTCATTCATTGAATTTCAGATCTTTTAATCACGAGGCTCAGCATCGCATGTGACCATTTCCTAGGGTGGCCTGCATGCAAGAGCAGCCTGCCTAGGGACCCCCACTTCTCCATGCTAACATCCACTCACCAATTAATTTTGATATTTGCATAACTCCTCCCAAGAACCAGCCCATTGCTTGCATCAGGACTGAGGACTTTTGTGACGAGTACGGAGGCAGGATGCTGTGATGTTTTCAGGAAGTAAATGTACAGCACCCTGCCGGAGATCCCTACAGCATGACATTCCTTACCGTCTCATAAGTGAGGTCCATTGGATCCAGAGACATTTTGGCAACAGCCCTTGTAGAGTCTTTTCCTGCCAGTGCATTGTATGGAGCTCCCTTCCCATAGAACTCTGTAAAAAATAAGAGATGATAAATCGAGCACCAATACAGCTCTGGTCTGCAGTCATACACATTCAGTGCATAACCTGGCATTAAAAATGTTGCAGGACAAACAGACATTAGATCTTAGTGGATACATAGAGAACTGCACCATGTTTTATCATATTAGGCGGTGACTTGGGAGGTGGTTACACATTAGATCATTCTGTGACTTGTGTAACACAGAGGGGGATAGACACAAGGAATATTAGATCCGGTCACACCAAAATCGGACCTAAAACGTAAGTCAACCTCCGGCATTGCTTATTTTCTTTATTAATTACATTTCTTTTAACTTTCATTCCATTTCCTTCAGTTTTTGACACCTTCTGTTCCGTTACCTTGTGCCGAAAACAAGTAACGCGTGCTCTACTTTTTTTTCCAACGCACTGCAATGTTGCAAACGGGTGTGAATGGTCCCATTCACACCCGTTTCATTTCTGAACTACCTTCCCTTGACATCCGTTGAAAAATGTATCACAACCAATTAAAGCCCATTTCCACCTTTGCAGATAGTTTTTTTTTTAAAAACATATGCCAGCAATGTACACCGAGTGAACATGAAGCAGGCATATGCTCATGGAAATGGCTGTCTGTGCTCTGTGGAAATTACAACCGAGTTCTCTGTATGCTCTCCACCCCCCAGTCATTAGTATTCAATACACCGGAAGTGTATTGTGTGTAAAAGAAGAGCTGGTGCTCAGTGGTCGTGTGGCACAGAATCACAGGGAGGGGGGCAGCTGTTTACAGTCTGCTTTACAATCCCACCCCGCTGTCGGACTGAATTTCCTGTGCAGAAAATGTTGAAGTTGTAGGATTCAGGTCTAATGAAGAGTTCATAAAAAATGAAGAAAGCCTGCAATGTAAGTCATGGAAATGTACACACATGTACATCATCACTGCATCTCTTCATTACCACAATCAATGCTAATCACTTACAAAAAGATGGAAGTGGACTTTAAGGAGACCCCGTCATCAACTAAAAACACTGCAAGTAAAAACACAGAAGAAAATTCACAAAAAGGGTGAAGAGTCTGGGGAAGGCCGGAGAAGAGAACAATCTAGGACAACAGAGCTGAACTGGAAAGTGAGCTGAAATGGAGAATTTTTCCAAATCAGCTATGTTGTCCTAGATTGTTCTCTTCTCCTGCCTTCTCCAAGCTCTTCACCTTTTGTGAATAACCCTGTAAGTGTTTTCAATGTTTAATTTCCGCTTACAGTGTGCTTTTGAACTTGCTTGGCAAGGGGCCGATCTTCAGACTGATTCGGATAATTTTGCAAATGTTATGTAAAATATATCAATGGCCTTTTTATACAAGGATGAAGTTCTACAAAAGGAAGATCCTCTTTGCTCTCGTACAGCCAAATGATGAGTTCTGTTACAGAGATCATATTAGGAAATGTAAATAGAAATGTCAGCAATGGAGAGAACGCTGGGGAAGATCTGTAGAAGACAAGTCACCTTTTCCAGCTGAAACATCGAACACCGCGCCCTTCACTGCCATGTAAATCGGCTCATCTTCCTGCAGAGGAAATGACAACAGTTTACTGGGCAGTCAATGAAAGAGAGGAGTTCTGATATGTTCTATACAGAATGAGGAATAACATCATTTTTATAAAACATTAGATGGTAATATAGATGAATGTACATGTGCTGAGCTCAATGTGTCCCATCAGGATAAAACTCGATAGAGATTAGACATCATTCAGAAAAGCTTTAAAGAAGAGCACCGGGCAATTTTTTTAAATTAACCCTTGCAGCAGGGCTAACCCCCCTGCAAGGGTTAAATGCTCGTTTTGGTCTAGGGAGGAAAATAAAAAAAAGTTATACTCGCCCGATCAAAGCAGCTGTCACAGTACTCCCTCCAACCTGTTTTTATTTGAGCCCCTAAACCAAAACGAGCAGTTAACCCTTTCAGTGCAAAGGTAGCCTCACCGCAAGGATTCATTTCTAAAACGCCTGGAGTTCTTCTTTAAGACCTGAGGCCACCAGGCCGGTATATGGAAAGGGGTTAAAGGCTACATTTACCTTTCTGACCACGTTTCATGTTATACACTAAAACGTGGTAATAAGATCACAACCCCCCCACCATCACTTACCTGAATCTGGGGATTTTGATCCCCACAGACGTGTTTGGATGTAGCGCGGCTGTGCATGGCTCCGCCCACACAACAACGTCATCCATTCACAAATCCTTTGACAGGATATGTGAAAGGAGAAACTACAAGTCCCGTCAGCCATCGCTGCAGAGGGACGTCTCAATAGAATACAAGTGTGGTGACGTCAGTGCACTTGTAGTCCATTCATTCTTCCTCCCGTCCATGTTACCGACTGTCCATACCTCAGTACTGACAGGGAGGAAGGGTCTGCAGGAGGCAGAGCATTGCACCTGCCAGAGCATATGCAAAAAATAATACATGCACATTTTTTTCTTTTCTAAGGAAGTGTGCTTTTTTTTTTCCAAAATGTGGGATTTCCTTTTCCCACCAGAAGACTTGGTTCATTCAAAGTGTTGCTGTGCTGGGAATGGTCTAGAAGAATGACTATTTGGGTAGCTGACATCTATAACCATGCTACGGGTGGTATACTTCAGACAATGGGAGCCTGGCCCGGGGCTCTGTGCATAGTACTGTGATAGAGGAAGTGAGACAACAATAACCGAGGGGGAAGAGTTCTGCTCATCATTCCTTATCAACTGCAATGTGGTTCTATGGTGCAGAGAGGAGACATTTCACCTTCTTCTGGTGGTTGTTGAAGGACTCGCCTGGCTGGATCTACACACAAATAACTCCACAAAGCTGCAGTCTATATGAGAGGTGTAATGCAGGCATACCGCTTCATGGCAGGCCCCCACCCAACCCAGCCGGCATGGCGGATCGCCTTTCACAGCAGAGGTTTCTTTTATGGACACCCTATGGTCTGTGCTAGTGTAACATTACTGTCCCAACAACATCCCCACCCTACCCAGCACTGTATAGGTCAGGGCAAAATAAAAAAATATATATAACATTTAGTACATTGCTCCAATATTTTATTGTAAGCCCTCAGGGGCAGGGCCCTCCTTACCATCCTGTCTTGAATTGTATTGTAATGTCTTTCTTATATTGTACAGCGCTGCGCAAACTGTTAGCACTATATAAATACTATGTAATAATAATAATTCAAAATGCTGCAAGTACAGAAACATACTTCTGTTGATCTGCCAGAAATCCAGTGTGCCGTTTGGGAAGCCCTGCCTACTGGACTACAGACTTCCTGCTATCCTCCACCCCTAAGCTTTCGTCCCACTCTACCTGCATACTCTGGTTTTTCCGCCGTAACAAAACAATGCTGCTGCCGTGGCTCTCACGAGCCGGCCCACACACTGTATAGGGAAAGGGCTCTTGGTAGATGTAGTTCTGGGTCTGTGCCTACATCAATAGAACTTCTAGCTCCACAAAATTGTAGTTCTCTTGGAGATGTAGTTCTGGGGCTGTGCCTACATCAATGGAACTGTGCTTCTAGCTCCACAAAATTCTGCAAACCCCATGATGACATCATAGGAAGCAATAATAGCAGTTCCTCACTTAAGGAACGGAGGTACAACAACAAAAAATAAAGCCGGGATAATGATTTGGTGGGGGGGGGTTCTAAGGATAAGTTTGGGTAATACTATTGCTCCCGGCTGCTAACATAAACCTGTTGCCTGCAGAAGCTAGCCGGCAGGAGAATGGGGCTACTCCAGGAAAGAACAATGACTTACACATGGCACTGGGTGTGTCAATGATCAATAAAGGGCCGGGCGTTATGTGCAGAGGGCTGCAAAGTACAAACATCTGACCTTGCAGCACGCAGTCTCCTGCACAGAACGCCTCTTCCTGTGGAGTGGAGCAGTACATCATATCGCTCTCATCACCTCACTATTGTCCATTTACAAAAACACCCTGTACTGGTTGTAAAAAATACATGGCAGTCCTCTCCATTCACAAAAATGCCTTGTACTGTTTTTAGACCCCTTTCACACCGGGGCGGTTCTGCCGCACGGATACGCCGACATAAACGATCACATACATTGCTATGGGGACCGTTCATGCGACCGCGCAATCTAAACCGCCCCCCTGCCTGAACTGCTCCCTGCATTATTTTTGCCGCGCTAATCAATGCAGTTTCCATACAGGTTTCAATGGAACGGCGCTGATCAGTGCACTTTGGGACGTTTTTAATTGCGTTTCAGCGCTGAAACGCAATTAAAAACTCCTAGAACCTTCCTTTTCAGATCAGCGCGGTAACTGCGCTGATCAGCAACCGCCCATGGTGTGAATGGGCTCTTAAAGATTATCAGGCATTCTGTGATTGGAGGAGGCACGATAACATCAAACCCCCTCCTCTCCTCCAATCACAGAACACCTTGTATTCTTTGTAAAATATTTTTTTTCTGGCTTTAAACAATTGTTTTGCTTCAAAGAGAAAAGGAAGAAAAATTTAAACTTGATTACTCCCCCATAGCTCATCCCCCTGCACCTCACACCAGGACATGTTTCTAATGGCACCGTACACCTCTGAACGCTCCGCACGGACTGTGATCACGGTTATCATTGGGGAAGGTTGGTGCAGGGGCTCCGCAGAAGTCTCGGTTACCTGCTCCCCGTTGTATCGGGTCAGATCGTCGTCTGTGAATAGCCGGACCGGCTTGTGGTCAGGACGCCGGGTCTCCGGGTCGCCAGATACGGGACCACATAGCAAACCCGCAAGCAGCAGCGCGGAGCAGATCACCCGGCACGGCGACATGTTCCGGAGAACTTCCGGGAGGGGCGGGGATAGAACGCCGCGCCAGCCTACAAGCCCCGCCCACTGGAGAGGCAGTAACCAATTATGTGCCAGTGCAGTGATCTGCTGAAGTAGAATGGTTGTGGCCATGTGGCAGCTCATGCACACTACAACTCAGCCAAAAACTCATATGACCCTTGTTTTTTCCTGGCATGAGCGTTGTCATACGCAGCAGTTCAGGTGCTACTGCATGAGTGCATTGGGGTGCAGCAACGCAGGACACAGGTTTTCATCCCTTGTGGTAATTCACAAAAAAACACAAGTTTTGCTGCATGTTACGGCGATACCTATCAGATTCAGGCTAGGGCGACTCCTGACCGCGCAGCAATAGTGCACAAAACCGTGCGGTCACGGAATCGCCCACCACAGCTGATCACGCTGAAGTTGCCATTATTTCCTACTGGCACCCCAGTCACACCAGACGGATCACCGAGTATCGCGTGTCGCAAAAAAGGTACTTGTACCTTTTTTTAGCGATTGCCATGCAGATGTCACCCCATTGAGATCAATAAGGCCGGGCGGCAACCGCTGTGCGCACTAGCACACGATTGCGTGGCCCCGGGGTCTGAACCTAGCCTCAGGGCCTGCTCACACTATATACATTGCATTCTGGCACGGTTCGCTGCTGGAACGCACTGTATCGCATCCTGGTCGGCTCCCTGCGTTCTGGGATGGGAGGGGGTGTAGTGGTGCATTGAAGTCAATGTTACCGCAGCCACGCCTCCGCCCGCAGTGTGATCGCCCGCACCAGAACGCGCTGCACATCAATGCCAATACTGCATGCGCTATTTTTTCTGATCGCACTGATGCAGGCATTAATGTGCCACTCGTTCTGGTGCGGCCAACCACACTGCGGGCGGGGGGCCATTGATTACAATGCAAAACGCAGGGAGCTAGCCAAGATGCGATACAGTGCGTTCCAGGAACTAACCGCACTGGAACGCTCTGTTTATGGTGGGAACCGGCCCTAAGCAGGAGCGTCCTGAGGCCAGGTGTCACCCGGAGCCCCCCGCTTGTGACATCACTGACACTAAGGGCTTGTTCACACCATGTCCGGATCATGTCCAGACCAGGACAGTTTGTCCCCAGACAAAAAAAGCATCCCAGTGTAACGTTATGGTATTTCTGGGCTCTGTTCACACCAGCGCAGTCCGTTCCGGCCCAGACAAAAAAATACTGCTCATCTCATATTTCCTGATCCAGAATACACTGGAACGCATGAAAACGCATAGGAACGCACCTAAAAGCACACTTTAAACTAAAATTGGCAAAATCGCTGTAAAATCACGGCAAGAACTCAGTAAAGATACACTGCGTTTGCAGATCTGGTCCAGACATGGTGTGAACAAAGCCATAAGGACCATTCATAGCAAAATCAGAAGGAAACCGCAAGTCAATGGAGGGTCTGCTGACTTGCACATGTACCTTCCGATCTGTTTCATTGTGATCAGTTTTTGAACGCATGCTAACAGTAAAATGAATGGGGGGAGCTCACACCGGATCCGATGCGTTACGTTGTGCTGAAAATAGTAATGCATGTTCTACTCTTTTTCAGTGCAACGCAATAGATCCGGTGTGAACTCCCCCCATTCATTATACTGTTAGCATACATTCAAAAACGGATCACAACGCAACGGATCCGGTGTGAATGGGCCCTACAGGTAGTTGGTTATGGCACCCAATGAAATCAATGAGCCATGTGTGATCCAAACGTAGCAAAAAAATGTACGTGGACAGGCGTGTGTGCATGTTCCCTCATCGCATAGTGTTCACAGGAACTCATTCTAGAGATATAGAGAACATTTTTCGCAATGATGGTTGTCACCGCAGTATGTGTCCCCATTGAAAGATTTCCCCTCACTTCCTGTTCTAGTTCAATTATAACTATTGTGTCCCATCATTTTCTGCCCCTGTGGAAATGGTCACCAGGACCATAGAGGATTTAATGTCACTGACAGTAAAACAAACCAGACATGGATTTGATTCACAAAACTTTACTAATGAGTTATTCTTTCATTCAGTCTGTGTGGAACTACAAGCTGCAGCGTGCCCTGTCATCTGCTCTCCACTCTGCAGTTACAGCGAAGTTTTGGACTCCATCTCCCAGCATGCTGTGCGCCGTGTGTCGGGCCGGCTGCGCACGCATCCCCGGTGCAGGGACAGCCCGGAGCAGAGCAGCATCCTGCGGACCCCCATCCCCGGGAGCTCGCAACCACCGCCCGGTGCCATGATCAGGGCTGAAATCTCCAGATCCTACCAGGAGGTAAGAGTCACACGATCAGAAGAGTAGGGTAGAGATGATGAATTATTCAGCATAGAGTATGGGACACATGACTTGTCAGCAACGGTCACGGTGGATACATTGTATCACGGGGGGTGGAACGTTCTGTGAACGCGCTTTGTAAACATATTGGTTACATAATTTGTATTTGTTGGTTGTCGGTTCTGCTCATCTTTGGCTGGACTCTCATCATCTGGTTTTGCTGCATAAGTTTTCTATTGCAGTCAATAGAAACTCATCAAAGTTCATGTGAACAGAGACATGTCATTGATGTGTGTTGGTGAGCCCGGGCATAGTGTGTTCCCTGCTCAACAGGGTTTGGCCAAGTCCACTCACAACTGTGACCCCCTCACCCCCCTATGGGTCAGTCAGTGTCGCCCCACTTTGTGACCTACAGCTGTGGGATGGAGGGGGTGGCAATCACATTCTTGAGCCTTAACTGGGTTCACACCAAGACCAGGCCCAGCGCAAATTATGACTAGGGATGGACATGGGCTTAGTGCAAACCAAGTTCACCCAACTATACACAAGCACTCGCTTGCATTTTGCTGATCATGTGACCTTCGGTCACACCTCCGCTTGATTGTTAATATGTCATGAATAAGTAAGTGCACAGCTGGTTTTTGTTGGCTGATCAGTGACTACAGCCAATCAGCCGCAGTCATTGTTCGGTTTTCCTGACAGCAGCGGGCTCCATCGATCAGAATACAATAGTCCAAAACCAAAACGTAATGATAATACATTGCAGCTTACCAGAGCAGAGATATGGCGGATGAATTAGGGTTTTTTTCCTTTTAATGTCATCTGGTATTCCTGCCAATAACACAACTCCTGTCTCTTTGTATCAATAACACAACTGTCTCTTGTATCATTTCTCCATGTTACCTATGGAGGGAGCGATGGTTACATAGTTACATAGTATTTGAGGTTGAATAAAGACATAAGTCCAACCTATTGTGTGTACATTTGTTTGAGCAGGTGTGTGCGTGTGTATTAGTCCATGTGGGATTTTGCTCTTAGGCGTACCTGTACCCCTGTATGTTATGGTCTCTGAGGAACTCGTCCAGGAGTTTCTTGAATGATTCCACACTCTTAGCTGAGATCACTTCCTGCGGCAGCGAGTTCCAGACCCTAACCGCTCTAACTGAGAAGAACCCTTTGTGCCCTGTGTGTTGACATTTTTTGTTATGGAGCTAACCGTAAACAGTTTGTTCATAATGTTGCTGTCGCCCTTGAACAGTTTATACAAGAAAATCATGCCCCCCCCCCCTTAGTCTCCTAACCTCCAAAGAGAACATATTTAATTTTAACAACCTTGTTTCATATTTCAGGTCCTCGGACCCCTTAATGAGTTTGGTTGCACTCCGCTGGACTTTTTCCAGCTCAAGGACATCATTTCTGAGTATCGGTGACTAAAACTGGACCGCATACTCCAGATGTGGCCGAACCAGTGATCTATAATTTTGCCATTTTACAGACTTGTCCCTGCAATACATTCCCTTCTTAATACAGGACAGGACTCTGCTAGCTTTGCTTACAGCAGTCTGGCACTGCGAGCTGTTCTTCAATCTGCGGCCTATAATGACCCCCAAATCCTTCTCCGTTTCCGACTTCCCTAGTTGCATACCCATGAGTATATAGTCCATTTGCCTATTTTTAGCTCCAAGGTGCATTACCTTACATTTATCGACATTGAACTTCATCTGACATACAGTTGCCCACTCCCCGATTTTCTCCACGTCCTCCGGTAATGTTCTAATGTCTAAATCCGTGTCTATTACCCTCTCAATTTTCGTATCATCAGCAAACACTGAGACATGGCTACTCACTCCCTCCCCTATATCATTAATAAATAGGTTAAAAAGCAGGGGACCCAGCACAGAACCCTGGGGCATGCCACTCATGACTTCAGCCCAGTCTGAAAAGGTGCAGTTTATCAATACTCTTTGTGCACATTCTTGTAGCCAGTTTTCTATCCACGTGCACACTAATTCATCTATGCCCATAGACCTTACCTTGTATAACAAGCGTTTATGTGGCACCGTATCAAATGCTCTGGAAAAGTCCAGATATACTACGTCCACCATCCTCCCTCCATCCAGATCTCTACTTACCTCTTCGTAAAAGGTTGTTGCACAGGATGGACTTCAGACATGTCTGTCTTTGTACATCTCCATCACCCGGTGCAACAGTGGGAGTAGTAGTTTACACAAGAAAAAAATCCTTCTCCGTTTCCGACTTCCCTAGTTGCATACCCATGAGTATATAGTCCATTTGCCTATTTTTAGCTCCAAGGTGCATTACCTTACATTTATCGACATTGAACTTCATCTGACATACAGTTGCCCACTCCCCGATTTTCTCCACGTCCTCCGGTAATGTTCTAATGTCTAAATCCGTGTCTATTACCCTCTCAATTTTCGTATCATCAGCAAACACTGAGACATGGCTACTCACTCCCTCCCCTATATCATTAATAAATAGGTTAAAAAGCAGGGGACCCAGCACAGAACCCTGGGGCATGCCACTCATGACTTCAGCCCAGTCTGAAAAGGTGCAGTTTATCAATACTCTTTGTGCACATTCTTGTAGCCAGTTTTCTATCCACGTGCACACTAATTCATCTATGCCCATAGACCTTACCTTGTATAACAAGCGTTTATGTGGCACCGTATCAAAT